TCGACTGGGTCCTCCGGCGCGCACGCGCGGAGAAGGGCCACGGCGTCGTCCCCCGGTTGGCCCAAAGCCTCGATGGCAAACGGCACGAGGTCTGGCCCTGGGTACCAGAAGCGCTTGCCGTCCTCGGCCCGCGCGGTTGCCGCGCCATCCCGCGCTGCTCGCGCACGGAGGAGCTCGGGGCAGGTGGAAGAAGCAGCGGGGACGCAGACGTCGACGTATGCACGTTGGGCGTTTTGGTCATTAAAAACAACGTCCAAGCGCGCGCGCTCATTCTGCTCCTCCCCGTCCACCTCCACCACTCGGTCCCACTTCGGCACGAACTGCTCGGTGAGCACTGGGGCGCCCGTGACGCCTGCGATCCAGGCAGCCAACCAATCACGGATGCTGTCATGTCTCCGGACAACTCCGCCACCGACTTCGCACGTCAGAGCGTGGTGTCCCCGGCCGTCCACGGCGCAACTGCACCTGTGCCCCAACTGCGAAGAGCGGTGCCCGCAAGTGCTAGCGGGTGGGCGAGCGCCCAGTGCTCCCGGGTGCGGAAGCTGCAGCCGCAGGCGCACGGCCACCATGAAGTGTTCATCTGGTAGAAGGTGGCTCTTCTCGGTGGGCGAGAGCAGGAAAGCGCCGCCCTTGTCGCCCGCGGAACGGAGGTCGGCGCGACCAGAGACCTCGAGGTCTTGCAGCAATGTCTTCCGGCACTCCGCGCTGATATGCTTCATCAGCGCCTTCTGTTGCTTCACGCGGCTGGCAACAAAGCAAGCTGCCCAGTCCGCCTGGTAGTTGCGGTACCCCAGCCGGCGGAGCTCGTCTCCCGCGACCGTCAGGGTAGCCCCCGTGCGCGGCGCCCCAGCGAGGAGGGCGTCGGCCGAGTGTGACCTCCTCCTCCTCCATCCTCTCTCCCCCCTCCTCCTCTGGTTCATATTCTTATTACTGTTATTACTATTACTATTCCCCCACGTCCTCCACCTCCTCCTCCCCCACCTTCTCCTCCTCTTCCTCCACCTCCTCCTCCTCCTCCACCTCCTCCTCTGCCTCCTACGCCCCCTCCCTCCTCCCTCAGGCGAGCGGGAGAAGCACGCGCGGTACCCGGGCGCCCGACTCACGCCCTTCGAGGCGGAGGGGCCGCTCGGCGCCAAGGCCCGCCTCTGGCTGCTCGGGCAGGTGCGACGCCTGCCTGCGGGCCAGCAGCCGCAGGAGCTGGCACGGGCCTACGAGGTCCTGAGCTGCGGCCTGCAAGCTGCGACGGCGCGCCAGCTCCGCAAGGCGGCCGGCCTGCGCTAGGCGGCGCGCCAGGCGCCGGCGACGCCGGCCAGACGACGCCGCCAAGCGGACCGCCGAGGGGAACCGCCCGGCCACGCGCCCTGCCGCCGCGACACTCGCAGGACGCGGCCCGCCCGCGCTGAAGCTGGAGACCCCTGAAGCGGCCCTGGCGGGGCTGCCAGCTGGCACGACGGGCGGCGAAGGCCGGACTTCTGCCCGGCGGCGCAGCCGGCTGCACGACGGGACGCCGCGGCGCGCGCGCGGGCACCCTTGCCTGGGCTGGCCGCGGGCAGGGGCAGGATGGCGACGGCGGCGACGCGGAGCCCGAACCGCAGGGGGGCGCAGGTCGTCGCGGTCGCCACGGAGCTCTCGGGTTCGCTGTCCAGAGGCCCCAGCTGGCAGACCCCCTCCCCCCCCTGGGAGTTGCTGCTGTCTTGAACAGTTAGCCACCCCCGGGGGTGCCGCCCCTTTTGGCTGGGCGGTGGGGGTGTCTGCCGGCTCCCGGCTAATGTGCATCAGGTGCGCGGAGGAGACCCGCGTCCGCCGCCCCTCCTGCATCCCTCCTCCTCCTCCTCCTCCTCCTCCTCCTCCTCCTCCTTGTTGTTTGCCTCCTCCACCCCCTCCTCCTCCTCCTCCTCCTCCTCCTCCTCCTCCTCCTCCTCCTCCTCCTCCTCCTTTTTGCTCCTTTTCCTCCTCCTCCTCCTCCTCCTCCTCCACCTCCTCCTCCTCCTTTTCCTTTTCCTCCTCCTCCTCCTCCTCCTCCTCCACCTCCTCCTCCTTTACCTCCCCCCTCCTCCGCCTCCTCCTCCTCCTCGTCCTCCTCGTCCTCCTCCTCCTCCTCCTCATCCTCCTCCTCCGCCTCCTCCTCCTCCTTGTTTGCCTTCTCGTCCTCCTCCCCCTCCCCCTCCTCCTCCTCCTCCTCCTCCTCCTCCTCCTCCTCCTCATTATCCTCCCTCCTCCTCCTCCTCCTCCTCTCTCCTCCTCCTCCTCCTCCTCCTCCTCCTCCTCCTCCTCCTCCTCCTCCTCCTCCTCCTCTCCTCCGTGCTATCATTAGTAGTTCTATGAGTATCAGTGTTATTAGTACTATTATTTCTAGTATTAGAATCATTAGTAGTATCATTAGTGGCATTATCAGTATTACTATTAGTAGTAGTAGCAGTACTACTATTGGCATTATTATTATTCCTCCTCCTCTCCTCCTCCTCCTCCTCCTCCTCCTCCTCCCTCCTCCTCATTCCCCTCTTCCTCCTCCCGCCACCGCCTCCTCCTCCTCCTCCATATCCTGCTCCCTCCTCCTCCTCCTCCTCCTCCGCCACCGCCTCCTCCTCCCTCCATCCCTCCTTTATCTCCTCCTCTCCTCCTTCCTCCCCTCCGCTCTTCCCCCTCCTCCCTCCTCCCGCCTCCTCCCTCCTCCCTCCTCCCGCACCCTCCCTCTTCCCTCCTCCCTCCCTCCTCCCTCCTCCTTCCTCAACTGCCGTCCCGACCCGAAGCTTTGGGTGCTGCTCCCAGGGACCTGCGAGCCTTTCGCGATCAGCAGCAAAGCTCAATCAGCATCACAGCTCGATGGCGCAGGCCAGTCATCATATTACACGTTTGCTGGCAAACTTTGGAACCTGCAGAACGTTCCATCGAACCAATATCTGCTATAGCATGGTCAGCGAGCTGGGCGCAACATGGTCAATGGTGGCAAAACGATGCAAGAGGAGTACCGCGCCCGAGACGAACAACGTCCGCTCCTGCACCAGGTAGGCGTGCGAGAGAGGATCTCACACCACCGCTTCCAAGGCCAGCGCAGCCAGAGGAGGCCATGACATATCGGCTGTGGCTGCCGATGCCCACATCAACGCGCATCGCGACCAGCTGAAGATCAGCCTCGACGGACTGGAGAAGCAGATCAAGAGCGCCTACCAGATAGGCCAGGGCTCAGACCGCATCACCGAGCTCGAGCAAGGCTGCTCAGTCACCCTCTACATAATCATGCACGCCAGGGACCCCAAGGCTCGCACAGTGCAGCAGAAGGCACGCGTAGACAAAATCAGGAAGCGCTTGAGTGAAGCCCAGCGGGCAGAAGACCAAGCGATGGACGAACAAAAGGAGGTCGTCGCCCCCACCCAGCCGCTCTTCGAGGATGTGCAGAAAGCGGAGGACTTTGCTGACACACCTCGAGCGCCTTGAAGAGGAGGAGGACGACGAGGACGTACACATGGAGGAGAAGTCATCAGCTCGGGCACGAGATGCTCCAGCAGCCCCAGCAGAAGTACGAGGACCCGCCAAGCCAGCATCAAGCACGGCACCAGCGGGAGGAGACCAGGCAGCCACCACATTTGCCTGCATCGCAGCCATGCGAGCGACCAGCACCGACATGGCAGCGCAGGTCAGCGGCCTCGCCACGCAGATGGCGACCATCCAGCAGGCTCTCGCGGCGGTCATCAAGGGCGCCGCGCTGGCACCGCCAGCAGGGCATGCAGGCGCCCAGGGCGCATGGCTGGAGCATCCCCAGCCAGCCGTTGGGAAGACACAAGCAGTACCCAGGTTTACGCGGCTCCCACTTAGGTCTCTCGAGTGCTGCCCGGGAGGTGCTGTCATAACAGGGGGGTGCACTGGATACTATTGGGCCGACGGGAAATAACAAAACCTTCAGGACCAGCTCCACAAATACCTATCCCGACAGAATGTGTGCTGCAGTCGCTCAAGCAATGCACGATGCAACACAAAGCACATGGCCATCCGACTCATAAGACGACTTGCCTCCTCCACCCACCTCAGAGGTGGCCCTTGAGGAGGGGGGGGAAAGAGATTGCACGGACCTTCCAGAGCTTCAAATGAAGCTGTCAGAAGAATTCCGGGAGGCGCCCGGTCTCGCTCGGCCCACGACTCCCAGGAAGCGTGGTGACCCGAAGGTTGGCCGTTGCTTTCCTCCCTTGCCCTCGCCTCCTGCTGACTCTTCCCCCTCCACCGCCGAGGAACCCGACCTCCCACCGCCGCAGGATGCGGCGCCAACGCCCGCCGCCGCCGCAGGCGACAGGCCTGTCCCCCTGCCCGACGAGGCCGGAGATCTGTCTTTTGACCTCCTATTTTCTTCCTCGCTTCGCCTCCCTCGCCCCTTCCCCTCCCTTGCCCCTGCCCCCCGTCCCCACAGCTGACCAATTGGCAAGAATTGCAGCCAACCGTGCCGCAGATCGTGAACGGCGCCACAGGCGCGCCGCCCCATGGTCTGGTCAGCTCGCTTTCCATTCCTGAAGTCTCTCGCCCTTGCCCTTGGTACAGGCCCTGAGGTTTCCACACAAGAGTTCATGATTAGAGTTGAGCACGTCTTCGCGACACTGTCATCGCCCCTCCTCCCTCCTCCTCCCGCGCCTCCCTCTTCCCTCCTCCCGTCTCCTCCTCCTCCTCCTCCTCCTCCTCCTCCTCCTCCGCCTCCTCCTGCTCCTCCTCCTGCTGATCCTCCTCCTCCTTCTCCTCCTCCTCCTCTTCCTCCTCCCTCCTCCCTTCTCCTCCTCCCTCCCCCCCTCTCCTCCTCCTCCTCCCTCCTCTCTCCCCCCCTCTGTCCTCCCTCCTGCCTCCTCTTCGCTCCTCCCTCCTCCCCTGCTCCCCTCCTCCCCTCCTCCCTCCTCCCCTCCCTCCTCCCTCCTCCCTTCTCCCCCCCTCTGTCCTCCCTCCTTCTACACCCTCCCCCCTCCTCCCGCCTCCTCCCTCCCCGCCCGCGGGTCTTCGTTCCAACGCCGACCCTCCGCGCGTGCCTTGTCGCGGATCTTCGTGTAGCCCTCGTGCAGCCGGCCTGCCACGTGGGCCTCGCCGGGGCGGCGGCCCACGGGCTGCTTCGGCTGCCGTCCGCTGCTCCTTCCTCCCCTCCCCCCCCTCCTCTCCAAGACCCCCTCTATTCCACAATTATTGAACAATCTGAATACTACTCTCCTCTCTCCCCATTGTTGGCGTCCGGGAAGTGGCCGGCCCCCCTCCGCGTACTGGCACTTCAGACACAAGATTCCCGGGAAACGGGTTTTCGCTGCTTTTTCAAAATGCTGTGTCTGCTGAAGCGCCGGCCTCATTTTGTGGCTACCGTTCGTTCCGAATCGTGTTCCCGCTGCAGCGCTGGCCTCATTTCAGCGCTTCTGCTCGTTCCGAATCGTGCTCCCGCTGCAGCGCTGGCGTCATTATTTCCAGCGCCATGCCACGGCATAGTTTTCGGTCCTGCCAGATATGCACCAAAATCGAGAAAATGCCCCCGAAACAACCATCGGAAGTGATTACGAAGTCGGTGTCAACTCGTCGATCGCAAAAGCCCCCCCACTTTGGGGCGTCGCCACGCCATGCATGTCTGGCTACGCGTCCTCCGGATCGTGCTCCCGCTGAAGCGCTGGCATCATTTCAGCGCTTCCGCTCGTTCCGAATCGTGCTCCCGCTGCAGCGCCGGCGTCATTATTTCCAGCGCCATGCCACGGCATAACTTTCGGTCATGCCAAATAGGCTCCAAAATCATATAGAAAATGCCTCGCCGAAACAACCATCGGAAGTGATTACACATTCGGTGTCGAACCGTTGATTTTGGGGGGCCGCAGAACCCCCCCCCACTTTGGGGCGTCGCCACGCCATGCTGTGTCAGACTACGCGTTGATCTTCAACACCATGCTATGCCATATAATGCTATGCCCTGCTACGACATCCGACTGTGCGAATAGAGAGGAGATCTACGCCATGGTAAGGGATGGGAGGGGGGGTAGGACGTCAGATATGACGCGAGCGCACCTGGCTTGCCTCCTCCCCTCCCTCCCCTCCCTGCCCACCTCCTCCCCCCCTCCCCTCCGCCCTCCCCTCCCTCTCCTCCCCTCCTCCCTCCTCTCTCCCATCCCCTCCCGCCTTCTTCTTCCCTTCCCCCCTCCCAATCAGCCCCCATTCCCATCCCACTGCCCTCTCCTCTCCTCGTCCGCTGCCCCTCCCCTCCCCCCTTCTGAGCTCGACGCTTCAAGCCTGCGCTGGCGCATCAACTTTCAGGAGCTGGCGCACGACCTCGCGGAAGTTGATATTAACGCTTGTTGATTTGCGGGCGAAGACGCCTGGACATGACAAGCTTCTGATGGGCAGCACGACCGCCCGTGATTCGCCCGCCGAGCTCAGCCCAACGCCGAACCGCTGGCTCGCGGAAGAGCTGGACCCTCGAGAAACGAAAAGGCACGGGCGACGGGGGCGGGAAGGGGCCGAGCAATGGGTGACATCCGCCCTCGGACTCGCCAAGCGGCCGTGAGACTACAATGCGGCCCGTTGCGACAGTCATCAAGTGCCCTGGCCAGCTGTTGAGAATGCGCTCCCCCAGCTGGAAAGTGCTCAAGATCGGCCCACAGGCCCGTCCCAATCACCATCACGGCAGGCACGTCGAGCCAAGAAGAACCATGCCAAGGCAAGGCCATCTCGCGGCAAAACACAAGTACTCGCATGTGCAAACAGGTGTCCTTAACCATCGAGTAGGAGACCGACTGCATAATTGATTTACCCCCGAATCGACTGTCGCGAATAATGCTCGTAGGTATACCCAAACCTTCTACGTAGTCTTCGAAGATCCGACATTCGACGAACCTCTGGGGCAAAGCAATGTTGGAGCCGATCTTCTACTCGAAACCCGCTCCCCCCCCCCCCGACGCACGTGGGCCTCAAAGTCCGCCTTCTCATCCGGGTTGCACCTCACACCGCAGACGTCGCAGACCTCAACGGCAACGAGGGCGCAGGAATCTGACGACGAGCAGGCCGTGCCGCAGATCGAAGTGGAGAGAATTCTTGTCTCCCTCTGCAACCCAGAAAAAAAGTCCCCCCCACACACACTGTGGCAAGTCTTTCTTGTGTTCTGCATTGGTACCTGCTCAGCGCTCGAGACTCCAACGCGTAGGAATCAAACGCTCCCGCGACACGTCAATCGGACATGACTGAACTCAATGAACTGTTGGGTATCGTGCGGTTGCGTCGCCTCCACAGCAGTTGCAGTGATGCCAGCGTCAAGGGAAACAGCTGCACCCGACAGAAGAAGACGACAATGCACGCGTGAACGCATGCAAGGCAGGTCAAGCGAATCTGGTACCGAGCTCGATCTGCCAGCACTGCGAAGACTTGCTGGGACTTCCACTGCCAAACGGCTCGGGGCAACGATGGCCCCACCGCCTACCCATTCAAGCTCCACGCGACACAGCGAGACAAGCACGAGCATGACGGCGTGCCTCACAGGGGCCCTAGCAGTAGCTGGACCCATTTGGCGGGTTCAGGAAACCCTGAGACCAAAAAAGTTCCCATCTTTGGGGGGGAGATTTACTTCCGCCGTCTTGCGCCAGCCTTCTGCCGGCTTCCGCCAGCGGAGGCGGCCTCGTTTTACTTCCACTGCCTTTCGCCAGCCTTCCGCCGCCTTCCACCGAGGAAGAGATGACAACTCCTTGGGAGGAGGAGAAGGAGAAGGAGAAGGAGGAGGAGGAGGAGGAGGAGGAGGAGGAGGAGGAGGAGGAGGAGCATGGAGGAGACGACGTAACCAAGAAGGTCCGTCCGACCGCCAACCTCGACCTCGGTCGACGCGAACGCATCGACAGAGGGAGAGCGGGTCCCAGCTGGGTGGCGCTTGGGTTCATTTTCGGCCTCCCGAAGGGCGTCGCAACCCGTTGCCACTTCCGCCACCAGGAGGGCCCGCGCAAAAAATGGCGCTCGCAGCAGACCAGATGTGAGGAGATTCGCCTCGCGAACGAGGGCAAAAAAAAAAAGGAGGGTGGAAGGACAGAGCCTGTCATTGCATGACAGGCCCCACCCCCCTAAAGAATGAGCCGAGAGGCGCAGGGCACTGCGGGAGAGTCATCGACCGCAACATGCCAACGCCTCTGGTGCCTCTGTCAATCCCACATCCAACCCATGCCCGTCCTGCCCCAGCCCCTCCGAGAGATTGAGAGTGCACGCGGCGCTGTGCGAGAGAGCCCTCGATCGCACAGCAAGCTAGGTTATGAATGTGACCCCCACCCCTGATATTCACACCGGCCCAACACGAGGAGGAGCATGGAGGAGGACGAGGAGGAAAGGGAGGTTTGGGCGGGTCGGACGGGCGAGCGACGGAAACGCACGACGATGACAAAGGGGTGACATACGCGAACGCTCTCGGGTCGAGGGGTTTGAAGCAGATAGGACCCCAAAGAGCTTCCCCCCGTCTTGCCCCTGCTCGAGCGGCGCCGTGCCAGGCCACAAGGCAGCAGCGTCGAGGTTTAAGAACTGCTGGGCGGACTATTGCCACGGAGGTCTCCTCTTTCTCCTTGCCCTCCGCGTGCTCCGCCTTCAGCTCCTCGATCTCCTCACGATCAGCCAGAGAAGAGCACAGCGCAGAACAGGCGAGGACAAAGGATCAGCAAGGATCCTGGGTGGCCCAAGAGACCTTCAAGGTTCGCCCGAACATGGTCAGAGAGGCCTCAAGACGGCCCCAAGACTGCCCAGGAGGCGTCAAAGACGGTCCAAGGGCCTTCAAACAAAATGGGCCCGAGAATGGGCAAACCAAAAGGTACCCCTACCGCTACTCCCCCGACCTCTCCTGGGGTGCGTTCTGACTAAGATTTCGAGGCGAATCCAGCGGAGGCGACGAAGGCCTCTCAGGAGACCGAAAAAGGGGAGAACAGGCGAAGTGTAGCAGTATCGGTAACTTTTCCTCCTCCGAGAGAAGGGGGGAATGCGAAGCGGCCCAGGGCGGTAATAGTGCCAGGCTGGAGGCACCAGGGAGAAGGCCACGGTACAAGTGAGCTGGGAGATGGGTGCACTTCATAGCTCGCGCCAGCCCCACCACCCCGCCGTCCAGGCCAAACGGGAACGGTGAAGGGCTATGAGCGGGAACGGTGAAGGGCTATGAATGTGAGGTCTTCGCGGGAACGGTTAAAGGCTATCAGACTGAGGGGCATTAGAACGATTTGGGCCAGATGAAGCCCATCATGGTGCGGGAGTAAGCCAGCTTGAACAGGATTCGACCAGATTGAAACGATTCTCGGCCATGGATTAGCGTAGCACACCACACCTGCGCACAAGAGCAGTGGGGCGCAGGGTGGGTCGTGGGTGAGTCGCGGGGTGGGTTGCGGGATGGGTCGCGGGCGGGTCACGGGTGGATCGCAAGTGATACGACGACAAAAAAAACAAGAGGAACCCGCACCGCAGAAGACCCACTGCGGCCACGCACCCAGGGACGGTGCCAGGCAGCTCGGCTCCCCTCACTCTGACCAGCGCCGATGCCGAATCGAGCCTCTGAGAACTGGCCGTGCGCGCTGCAGATCAGCGCAGCCCTGCCCCGAGTCCAGGGGGCGAGTGGGGCTCGACCCAGGGCGCTGCGACCCTCCACTCCGCGCGTCCGTGTCGCAGGGCCCCGGCCTCGCCCTCTCCTCCTCCTCCTCCTCCTCCTCCTCCTCCTCCTCCTCCTCCTCCTCCTCCTCCTCCTAAACCCGCGTCAGAGCTTGTGAATCGCCGACCGCGACATCCTTACGCTCTTCCTGCCAAAAGCTCACCAGCCCCGCGATCAACCAGCCGGCACCTCCAACACCAAGCGGCCATCGGCAACGGGGCGTGGCACGCACCATCCTCGACGGCGTTCGCGCACTCTTCGTCGTGGCCTCACGGGTACAGCATCAGCTTGCCGCTGCGCGGCTTGTTCTGAGCGCGCCCAAGTAGACGAAGCCGGCACAGCAGCAAACACGCGGCAAACCTTGCACAAGAGGCGGAGTCTTCCCCAGGTGGCCGAGGCGCCCTCCCCGAGGCGCACGGCCGCGCGTCGGAACAAACCGCGCGACGACATATGATGTGCAACCCGCGTGCCCCAGCTCGGCCAAGTGCGTCAAGTTGAAGGGGCCCTGGGACACACAAATAAATACACACAAATAAAATGATTCCCCATATTTTCCATATTTTCTGGGTTTTTGTCTTCCCCCCCCACTTCCCATATTTTCGCATATTTTCTGGGGAATCGCCGATTAATTGTGTCTGTGTGTTTCTTTCCCTCCTGACCCTTGAGCATCGAATCGCTGATCCCTGGCCCTATCCCCACTGGCGCGGCCTTGGCCCCACTGGCCGATTTACTTGGGAATCCGCCGACCCTGTCGGCGTGCGAAAGAAGCTTCCCCATCCTCCCCACAGCGTCGTCGCCTCTTCTGCTTCTCGAGGGCTCCCTACACAAGTCCACACAAGAATTGAACAAGGTCGTCCTTCAGTCGACAGGAAGCCCCTTCCCTTGATCCCTTCCCCGCCGGGGGGGGGGGGTCCCGGGGCAACTCCCTGGGGGGGTCCCGGGGCATCTCCCGGGGGGGGTCCCCCTCGGATACGCAGCCCCCCGCCTCTCATCCTCCTGCGTCCTGGGGCTCTGTTGGCCCTCTGGGGCCATCTGCGGGCCCTTTCAGCCCATCTTAAGGCTCCTTGGAGACCTTTCGCAATTTTTAGACTCTCTTGGCAGCCTCTGGTGGCACTCTTGACAGCCTCTGCGGGCGCTTTTGGACCTCGCTTGACGCCGTCTTGCGTCTGGGAACCCTCTCGGGCCACTTGAGGGCGCTCTTTGCCTATCTTGGCACTCTCTGGAGCCGTTCCCGAATCCTGGAGGAGGCCTCTTGAGCTGTCTTCGGACGACCTTGCAGGCATCTGGCGCCGTCTTCGAGCCATCTGAGGGCCTCTTGGACTCCTCTACCTCCATTGTCTTCGCCGTCGCTGCCTACAAGGTCGGCGGCATCGGCCGTAAGACCTTCGCAATTAGATGCATGTGTCTTCCAGTTTCGCGGGCCCCATCCCCACCGAAGAGGGTGTGCTGGAAGGGCTGAGATGCCATAGCATAGCGGGGATAGGTTGGGCGATGATGACCCCTGCTTCCTCTCGTGCTCTTGCGCTCCTCCGCGGTCGCCCCGTGCGCGCAAGTCATCCGCCCAACAAAAAACATGATCGACCCACGAACCCGGAAAGGAAGTTTGAACTGTATCCAAGGCATTGGCAACGTTTCAAAGACACCCGATTGGGCGACGGGCAACTGCAATGCTGAGTGTATCAGTCTTGATGTACCGTGCCGAGGACTGTGCTGTGCTGCGCCGTGCTGAATTGCGATGCGCCATGGCGCAATTGTGCTCTATAGCGCAATGGATCGAGTCCTCCTTTGCATCCGAGTCCTGACCGAACCTGATCTGGATCGTAAGCTCGAGCTGCCTGAGCAAACAGCAGCTGCCCCAGAGCTCAGTGAGAGGGGGACGTGCCAGGAGGACGCGCCGCGGAACGTCCCAAGGATCGCGTCAGGCGACGTGCCAGGGGACGTGCCATGGGGACGCACCGAGGGACTTGCCAAGGGGACGCGCTACGGAACGTGCCAATGGACGTGCCACGGGACGTGCCAGGGGACGTGCCGCGCGACGTGCCAAGGGGACTCGCCATGGGACGCGCGAGGGAACGTGCCAGGTTGCAATGCTGAGTGTATCGATGTTGATGTACTGTGCCGAGGGCTGTGCTGTGCTGCGCCGTGCTGAATTGCGATGTGCCATGCCGCGATTGTGCTTTATAGCGTTGTGGATCGAGGCCTCCGTTGCATCCAAGTCCTGACCGAACTGATCTGGATCTTAAGCTCGAGCTGCCTGAGCACATAGTAGTTGCCCCAGAGCTACTTGACAGGGGGACATGCCAGGAGGACGCGCCGCGGAACGTCCCAAGGATCGCGCCAAGCGACGTGCCAGGGGACGTGCCACGGGGACGCACTGCGGGACGTGCCAAGGGGACGCGCTACGGAACGTGCTGGGGACAAGCATTTCGCTCGAGACATCCTGCCCACATCTTCATGCTAGACATCCGCCTGGGCGACCTGGACACGTGAAAATAAGCGTCTCGCTCAACACAACCTCAACACACCCTAATGCTAGACATCCGCCTGGGCGAACTGGACAAGTGAAAACAAGGGGTTCGCTCGAGACACCCTCAACAAATCCTCATGTTAGACATCCACCTGGGCGACCTGGGCACGTGAAACCAAGCGTTTCGCTTAATACATCCCCAACACATCATCATGCTAGACATCCGTCTGGGCGATTTGGGCATGTGAAATCGAGCGTCTCGCTCGAGACATCCTTAACAGATCCTCATGCCAGACATCCGCCTGGGCGAGCACGTGAAAACAAGCGTTTCGCTAAACACATCCTCAACACATCTTCATGCTAGAAATACGCCTGGGCGAACTGGACATGTTGAAGCAAGCGTCTCGCTCAAGGCATCCTCAACACATCTTCATGTTAGACGTCCACCTGGACGACCTGGGCACGTGAAAACAAGCGTCTCGCTCAACACATCCTTATTCTAGACATCCGTCTGGGCGACCTGGCCACGTGAACGCAAGCGTCTACCTCGAGACATCCTTAACAAATCCTCATGTTAGACATCCGCCTGGGCGACCTGGGCATGTGAAAACAAACGTTTTGCTGAATACATCCTCACTCAGCCTCCCGCTAGACATCCACCTGGGCGACCTGGACACGTGAAAACAAGCGTCTCTCTCGAGACACCCTCAACAGATCCTCATGTTAGGCATCCACCTGGGCGACCTGGGCACGTGAAAACAAGCACTTCGCTCGAGACCTTCTCAACAACTCCTCATGCTTGACATCCGTCTGGGCGATTTGGACACGTGAAATCAAGTGTCTCGCTCGAGACATCCTCACACATCCTCATGCTAGACATCCGCCTGGGCGACCTGGGCACGTGAAAACAAGCGTTTCGCTCAATACATTCTCAACACATCCTTATGCTAGACATCCGTCTGGGCGACCTGGACACGTGAAAACAAGCGTCTCTCTCGAGACATCCACAACAAATCCTCATGCTAGACATCTGCCTGGACGACCTGGACGCGTGAAACCAAGCGTCTCGCTCGAGACATCCTCACACATCCTGATGCTAGACATCCGCCTGGGCAAGCTGGAGGCGTGAAACCAAGCGTCTCGCTCGAGACATCCTCAAGACCTGGGCAAGTGATACCTGAGACATCCTCTGAATTCTGGTCCCCAATTTGAGGACAATCAACAACACAGAACAAGCGTTTCGCTCGAGACATCCTCAACACATTCTGCGAAACAAACACAACAACGTTTCGCTCGGGACATCATCTTCGCCGGCCCTACGCGACCTCGTTACTTGCCGCAGATAATTTCGACGGCCCTACGCAAATCGAGGCCGGTGGTAAACCTACTAAAAAGAGAACCGTGGGCCGGAGCCCTGTCCGGGAATGATACAAGCTAAAGTCGCCCCAGAGGAACCGGGGCTTCCACTGCCGCCCAGCGGTTTGAGGGGTCTTCCTTCCCCATGCTT